TTGGCAGCCTCATTATCCAGGATGTACACTGGTGGAGCTCGTGAAATTTCGCCATCTGCTACCATAGCGTTCAAACATTCCTCGATGTCTCGACGCAGACGGATACTCTCCAAGTTTTCTCCACATAGTCCTATCACATGAGGGCGCCGACGTTCAACAAACTTTTTGAAGAAGTTCATTGATTCCGCCTGAAATTCTTGTAATAGACTACCACTGCTATGCATGATCGGAAGTTTGGCGAAAGTTTTTTTTTCTTATGTATGCCCATTCGCTTTCTGAATAAATATTCAAATGTGGGGGGCACCAATTGCCCTTGAACATAACTGGAAGTTCAAGGCTTCATCTAACACTTAATTTGCAACTAAAACTTGGTGGCGAAGGTTTATAAAGAAGAATAAGAGAGAACAAAGCCTGACAGTAACTTTTGTCGATTATCTTTCAAACCGTGGTCTTCTACATAAAAATGATTGAACTATTCAGTTTTGCGAGTGGGTCAAAAACAGAAGCGGACATTAGATTTGGACGTATAAGATTGAAATTCTACGGCCCAGAGCCTATCCACCATCAATTCTCAGGAATGATACCAGAAAAAAGGAGCTGAGCTGGGTTTAAAAAAGTTTTATGAACGACCGTTTCGCGTTATCACAATTACCACATTAGTTAAAAAAAAGTATTACAGTACCAATACCTTAGGAAGACATGTTTCGATTGAATCTCAAAAAAGGCAATTAAAGACACACCTTAAGATTCTGATTAGGACCGTATCCTCCGGATCGCTTCAAGAAGTGAACCATCCGACAATAATCCACTACAGCTCCATCTTGATCAACCAGTACTCCAAAGGAAGCCTCGTTGAAATCGCTAGGATACGCGATTGCCATCACTCGCACTTCTCCCTAAATTCCAGAACTTTGAAGGTTCTTAAAGTCGCAAGAAAGGATAGCAACGGGTTCACGAAACAGAAAAATAATTCGAATATAGGTTTCATAAACATAATTGTGTCTCCATGTGTAACACACAATTGTTAAACTAAAGCACATGGCAAATAAATTTTATTTCACGAAAAGAAAACTATTTAAAGACACTTTTTCAGCACAAAAAACAATTTGAAATCAAGTCACTTCCCTAGGCCATGTGATGCACATGGGACACCCCGTAGCAGATGGATTCGAAAGGTTAGGCATTGTTCACAGTTTTCGAATCATCCGAATATTCGAATTGCGAAAAGAATTTTATACGTATCGACCAGGAGAATTTCCACACGCGCGAACGCGGATGCGAAAAGGTTTAGATACGTATCGACGTAGTAAACCACGCCCTATTAGCGTTGCTAGAGGATTTTCGCACCGCCGTTTCGATGCTGCGATCTCCGATTGACTGATCGATAGACACTCATTCCTTTTAAGAGGATTCGCAGATTCGAATGCGCGATTCGACGCTCCTCCCATTTTGTGGATCGATACGCATTTCATTCTTTTCGCAGATCCGCAGATTCGTTCGTTTCGAGGAGTAGTTTCAACGGCTATGA